ATTAAGGATGTACCCATAACCAAGAATGCCCTTGACCAGAATCAAACCTGGGAACCTTCAGTCCACAAGCCAATGCTCTATCCACTGAGCAAACTGGTTAGGGCTGCATGGGTTATTTTAAATTTAACTGTTACCAATTAAAAAAATCAATAAAGTTACATGCATAGGACTGACAGAAATATACACACATTCATATATATATATATATATATATATATATATATATATATACACACACACACACACACACACACACACACACACAGAGTGGCCAGATTATTACGATCTCTGAACGCATAATAATCTGGCAACTCAGTGTATATCCTATATAATAAAAGGCCAATATGCAAATTGTCCCCTCAACCAGGAGTTCGATGAGCAGGTAAACCAGCCAACCAGCCATGTCCCCTCCTCTTGGCCAGGCTGGCTGGACCCCACCCATGCATGAATTCATGTACTGGGCCTCTAATATATACATATACACTGCATGGCCAGATTATTATGTGTTCAGAGATAATAATAATCTGGCCACTCAGTGTGTGTGTGTGTGTGTGTGTGTGTGTGTGTGTGTGTGTGTAAAACATACAGTAGGCCCTCACTTAATGTTTGTGACTTTAATTGAAACATCCTACTAACCAACTGTACTATAGTTTAATGGATATAAACAAAAGTTAATTTCCTAGGGCACCTCCTCAATGTTATAAAGAAAGGACTTTGAAGGAAATGACATTATTTAAGGATCTGGTCATTCTGTGTGTGTGTGTGTGTGTGTGTGTGTGTGTGTGTGTGTAAATCCTAAAAAGCTGAAAAAAATATCCTAAATGTCTGCCTTTCACATTTATGCAATGTAAAAAGGAACTCCAAAAGAGGGCTAGCCAAACTTATCTCGTTAAACCTAATTTGACTGAATGAAACTGAGACATAAAAGTCAAACTTACAAATATAAAAAATTAAAATTTGTCAAAATTGTGAAACCCAACTCCACTTACTCAGAAAGAACCTCTTAGAACTTTCTGTCAATAACTAACTTAGAAATCTGTTCTGCCCCTATAACCAATCTGCAAGTCAATTAATAGTGGCCACTGTCTTCTCATTTTACCCAATTCCTACCCACTCGCTGCTTTTGAAAGCTGTCCTGAAATTACCTGACTTCTAATGCTAAGCCTCTTCCTATTGCTATGAAGCTTCCTCTCTAACTTCCCTTTTAAAGATGCAGGAGGCATTTTTAAAATGCTCTCACTTGGTGTTAAGATTATTAATAAACATAGCTTTTCTGTCTGACACAAGCTTTCCTGGTCATTTTTGTGGAGACCATAACAATTGAGGTCTTAGAGGTTACATGTAAACCTACATTGATTTATCTCATTTCACTACACCAGTCTTATATATGATTTTGTCTAGCGTGGAATGAAGATAGCACCTTGTTTTCCAAGTTTAAAATATTGAAGCTACATTCCTTCTCCTGTGAACATCCTGTAGCCACAATGTGCCATTGGTGCAGAACATGTATGGGCAGAGCCATGTAGTTGTACTGCTCCCGGAAGGCCAGCTCACATCTAGAACCCTCGTGTTCTGTAGAGTCCCGATAGTAAACTTTTACATTTTAGGGACTTTGTGTTATGGAGTTTTGTAGTCCCAGTGTCCACCTTAGTGTCTGGAACACAGTATGTGATAAACGTGTATTACATGTATGAAAACGCAGTAAAGTCAGGAGAGGGAAGAATTTATGTGGTTCTCAAATACTTCAAAATTGAGAAGCACTGAAGTGTAAAAATTATCTGGGTTTTTAGGAGCTCTCTGTGTGTAGAGGGTTTTGTTCTCCCCTTCAAGACTCCCAAAGCTTGGAAGAGAAAAGGCAGCAGTCAACTTCCATAGAATTCTCTTTGTAGATCAAGAGGCTGTTAGGCTGCTCTCTCCTTGCCGCCCTGCTCCCCTCAGTACCTACCCCATTTTCTGCCTCATGACACTACATGGAAGGACTAGTCAGACAGGCGACAACTTGCTGATGAGGCCACAGAGACCGCACCACCAGATATGTAACACTCCATGGTACAAAGACTACTACCACCACATCTGTTTCAGTTCACCAACTCAGGGTTTGGGCCCAAATATATTAAATAAATCATCACTAACATAACATTTCCATAATTTGGGGACAAGTACTTAATTGTAGTAGGCATATTTCCTTAACGGTTATAAGGCATCTAATTTTTCTTAGTATTATTCTATACTGTCTGTTTTAAGTAAAAAAGAAGTCTGTTTTCTTAAAGATAAGTTGCTTTAAGATATAAAATTCCCATTTTGGGGTATTTTTATTTATTTATTAGTTTAGGACATGCTGAGATACTAGGAAATCAAAATAAAAGAGTCTTAAGAGATCATCCAGATCCATCCTAGGCAGTTGATTATTTGGTTCTTACTGATGTAACTGGACAGAGACTTCACATTCTGCCTGACAGCCCATTTCTAGTGTTTCATCATCGTTGCTGCGCCTAATCAAAGTTTCCCCTGTTTCAAATTAAGTCAATTTCCTCTTGTTTTGCTCTTGAAAAAGATTCAGGACAAGCAAATAGACCCTCAGTCATGATCAGTAATAGAGTCTGGGCTCAAAGAACCAAAGACTGGCAGCTATGTCCCAAGTGGCTTGAAGAGCTGTCTTTTTACTGATGCGTTAAAATGCCCACTCCTCAGATTTCTCCCAAATACCGAGGTCCAGTGAGCTAGGAGTGTAACTGTGGTCTGAGGTTAGCTGATAAATTGAGTTCAAACCCAATAAGTTACCACAGTTCAGAACACGAGTAACTGAACAGATGAGGCACTTCTGTACGGAAAAGGCTGCTCCCTCTTGAAGACACTATCCTAACAGGTCTTTCAGCTAACTGTCCTATTCAGTTAATTGTTCTGATTTGAAGTTTTAAAATGCAAATTCAGCCACTTGCAGGATAACCCTAAACCACAGATAGTAATATGTCTGACTAAAATATATACTCCAAATAACGTCCCACACTTAAAATCCAAACAATGAACAGATTATCTTTCCATACCATTTAAAAAATTAAAATGAACAGAAAATAGTCCAATTTAATCTGTACTAAAAAAGTGAAATTATCCACAGACTTAATCTACATATAAACTTAATTAGGTCTGAGTTTTGGTCTAGTCTGAAAAGAGCATACTGAGTGACTGTCATGTGGCAGATGCTTCATATACACCTTCTCCATTCCTTACAGTAATTCTCTCACCCCCAGGAGTCACTGGAGTGGAGTCTTCACAAAGTTAAATACATTGCCCGAGATTACTCAGTAGGTGGGAGCACTGGATCAGTTGTATTCCAGATGCAATGTCAACCAGACCAAGCTGCCACTTCCCAGAGGCCAAAAGTTAAAATCAGAACCCAACCCCACTGAGGAGAACAATGTTTGGGAAGGAACTGCTCCCACTGGTGCCGTTAACAACTACCGAGCTAAAACTGACCCAGGGCCTTGAGTCTTGAAGGTGTGTAACAGAAAAAAGGGAAAGAAACATTCTTCCAGCAGAATGAGGCAGTTTCCAGTGCTGCTGCTCTTCCACGAGCTGCACTGATAACTTCTCTTCTAAAAGATTCGGCTATGAATCTGACTCAGTTGAGCGGCACAGCAGAACTTCAAATCGAATGAATAATTATGCATGAAATAACTTTAAATTACTTGTTCATAATTTTTAAAAACTGATTCAAGTGATCAGACAGCCTCATAGGGAGCCTTATATAGTAGCTGATCTACCACCATTTAAATTTGCTGATACTTCCTTGGCCTAACGACTGGTCGCTATGATGTGTACTCACCACCAGGGGGCAGACACTCAACGCAGCAGCTGCCCCCTAGTGGCCAGTGCACTCCCACAGGGGGAGCGCTGCTCAGCCAGTAGCCGGGCTCATGGCTGGCCAGTGTAGCAGCGGTGGCGGGATCTTCTCCAGCCTCCATGGCAGCGCTCAGGGATGTCCCTCTGAAGGCTGCTCTAAGGGCTCCTGGACTGAGAGAGGGTGCGGGCCAGGTTGAGGGACTCCAAAGAAATTTGTGCACCAGGCCTCTAGTACACAATAATGACATCAATGATCTGGTAGAAAAAAGTTATGAGTCATGAAATTGTTCTCTAGGAGTAATAAATAGTTTCTATTCATAAATCCTGTGACCAGTGGCCCACATGTATGAAACATCCTGGTAAAACACGGCTTTAACATTAAAGTTTCCCTATTGTAATTTAGAGATCAAAGCTAAAATTTCAATGTACTTATTTAGTTTTAAACCAATAATGATATAATCAGTCAAATCCAAAGAGCAGATGATATAAAATAATTTCTGAAATAAAATATGGAAAACTGACCAAAAGTATCAGCTGGTGGTTGTCCAATATCATAATGAGATTACTAGCAGAAATGTCAACTCAGAAAATTTGCAATAAAATTGTTAAAAACCTTTAAATAATATTCTAACCCTTTAAAAATACTTAAGTTTAACTTTGAAAACTACTGAGTAGTCCATATTCAAAAAACTTTGTACAGAGTGAGCCAAAATAAAAGTATAAATATAGTTCAAAGAAGGAAGCAAATAGTTTATGTGTAATACTATCTGTCATATGTGAAAAAATTATTTAAAATAATTTGGTATCTGGCACATCCCATGCACCAAAAGGTTGCCAATACAATTCCTAGTCAGGGCATATGGTCAGGTTGCTGGTTTGGTCCCCAGTGGGGTGAGTGCGGGAGGCAATCGATTGATGTTTCTTTCCTTCCCTCCGCCCCTCCCTCCCTAAAATCAATAAAAACATATTTGAAAAATGTTAAGAGCCAAAGTCTTAAAAATGTTTTAAAAATGAATTTTTTTTATCACTGTATTTTTTGAGATTTATCAAAAGACAGATTTGTCTTTACACTGAGTGCAATGTTCTAAATAGGTGTACAATATCTTTTTTCTCCCCAAATGAAGACTATTATAATTTGTGTAGAAAGATAAATTACTTACCGCTATAATATCTAATGTATTATCACAGACCTTTCGGATTTCATTATTTTTATCATGCATCAGATCTATGAGGTAGGCTGGAGCCTCTGAATAAAGTGGTTAAAGATACAAATGACATTTGAGACTGAGGCTATTCAATCCCATTAGAAAAATCTCGCATTTCACAAAATTAAAATAACTTGAAATTTAACTGCAAATTTTAAAATAAAATCATTAATACAAGGTAGCCAGAAACATTTTCTATTTCATTTGTTTAAAAAACAAGAATGAGAAAGAAAGAAAAAAAAACTACATAAAAATGTGTAAGAAAAACAGCCAGTAAATTTTAGAAAGTAAAAGGCCATATTTTTGAAAACATGAAAATAGCTAAAAAGGTAGCTCTACAGCTGTGTAGCTATAAAAGCTTTCTCCATCTACCTGGCTCTGCTAAAAGTCTAGGGAGTGAATTTCACAGTAAAAGAGCAACAGAAAAGAATCACAGTCAAATTCCTTATATGGTTATTATAAGAAAAAGAAAACAAAACATTTTTACATAAAAGATAAAAATTGCAATTCAATATCCCCAAAAGAGATAAAATAATTAGAGAAAACAATAGTATATGAAAGAATATATGTCAGCATTAGAAAACTGAAATAATTCAGAAAATATATAAAATAAAAATCATTTAAGGTATAAAAATTAAATTTATAACAGCACAAGAGTAAGTAAAAATAATAGATAAAACTTTAGAAGTAGAAAGTAAAAAGAAAGAAAATTTTTAAAATTAAAAAATAAATGAAAAGAGAGAACAATTAGTAACAGATATTAAAGGTAGGCAAAGATGATCCAACATAACAAATATCAAGAAGACAACCAAAGCAACAGGACAGGATAAATAATAAAAACTATAATTCAAGAAAACTTTCCTGAAATAATAATAAAAAAAGACAAAACTACATATTGAAAGAACACATTTGCATACTTGGAAAAATCAAGGAAGGATGATAAATACCAAGTCAAATTCTAATACAACTACTGGCTTTATAGAAACAGAAAACATTCCTTTGGTCTTCCTGGCAAAAGGACCGACTATCTTAGAATGGAAACAAAAGTAAGTTGTCATCAGACTTTATGACAGATCCCAATAATTAGTAGTCTATAGATTTTTCATTGGCAGCAATTCAGGCCAGAAGACAGTGGAAAAATACTCTCTGAGGAAAATAACTGGCAAGCTGGAAGTTCGTATTATGCTAACTTATTATAAAAGAGGGCAAACTAATTATTACTCCTGATGGGGAGAGACAAAGGCTTACCTCAGAAGATAGCTTATAACCTTATTAATGTTTGCTATTGGAGATAGGCAGGTAAAAAAAGGAGGGGAATATTTTTGAGGTTGACAGGGCACCTGAAGAGGCAGTAAGTTTTGACAAGGCGGGTCATGTTTGATAAATGATGAGAAATGTGGTGTGCCAAAAGAAAATTGTGTATAGTAAGGTTAAATAGGGAACTTTAGAAAATTTGATATTATAATTATCGTATCATAAAGATTATGATAATTAGGATTCATGCACCAGGCTTCTAGTTTAATAATATTATGGCCATTTTATAGATGCAAGATTGTTTGTTCAAGCAGATTAAGGTCCTGCAGCTAGTAAGTAGTAAAAGTTAATTTAAAATGAGCTTTAGGGTTATGCGATTGTAATGCTTCTTAAGCTACACCATGAAGGATAGCTTGCCTTATAAATGTATTTCAGAGCCTGATATTTTCCACATTATTTCAATATTTGCAAGAAAAAATACCTAAAGATGCATCTCTTCTTAATATATGAAATGTTATTATTTGTTGTAAACATTGAAAGGATACGTGTTTCTTTAATTATGACATCTCTCGTGGCTTGGTGGAAAACCATCTGATAGAAGACATAAATTATCTGGCACACAAATTCATCATCTTCTTGTTGAGCTGAAGGAAACAGAAAACTTTCAATAAAAGAATACTACTAAGTTTATATACCAATTAGAAAACACTGAATAAAAAACCTAAAAGTGTCAAGGAGACTAATAAAAGACTACTAGTTTAAATTATTGGTAATATATGGGTGGCACATGTCATTTATGTCTTAGGTGTTTTTCTAAATTACATGATAACAGTGAGGAATTTCTTAATATGTTTTCAGAAGTTTTAGTAAATTTGGTTGTTAACTAAATAGGTTAAATTACTTTGGAATGCAAAGATAAAAAAAAATAAGATTTTGAAAAAGAGAAATTGTATCATATCTGAGTTTAAACCAGACTACCTGAGATTACTTATCTCAAAAGCCCAGGTTGGACGCACTGAGGAGCAAGCTTGTTTTAAGAGAATAGTAACAGTGCTTCTTGATAGTTTTCACTGTATTTTGCCACCAAATAAGAAGAAATTGATTACATTAGCCATAATGTAAAATGGCAACACATCTTCACTTGTTTTATTTCTTGTCCATGATAAGAATTCTTTAAACAAGTATAATTTTGAAATAGATTTGGCTCTATTTTCCTCACCAGGAACCAAATAGGCTGATAGCTTGATCTTGGACTTCCCAGTCTCCAGAAATATCTGTTGTTTAAGACAACCAGCCTGTGAACTTAGTTAATGGCCACCTGAGCAGGCTAGTATAAGGTCCCAGAAAATGTGACTCTAATAAAATAATATTAGATTCAGACAAATTTTGTGTCCAATATGGAGAACAAAAAACCAAGGGTAAGGGCAAGGTTCTACCTAGGCCTCCACTGTCCATTCTTGTAACCATAAGCCACTGTGGCTAATTAAATTAAAATGTAATAGAATTAAAATTCCAGTTCACACAAGAGCAACATGTGATGGACAGCATAGACAGAGAACATTCTCTTCACTGAAGAAAGTTTAGAGGACAATACTACTTCTGGAATTAGGGGGGATTATGATAATTAGAATTAACTTCTAAATAAACTTTTCTGATTAGAAATCAAAATATTAAAAAGGATTTGCACAACATAGGAGACCCAAATACAAAGTTCAACAGGAAGAAGAAATGACAGAATATTAGTTGCTCAAGCTGATCAGAGGAAGGCAATGTCTAAAATGGTCCTGAGTTTCTTTTCCTTTAAAACAAAAATTTATCTTTATTAAAGTATTACAGTTGTCTCCCTTTTTTTCCCACTGACCCCGTCCACCATACACCTGTCCTGGTTAGAAAATCTTTTGGATAGTAGCTGAGAATGTGAATAATCTAAGAAGTTTAAGCATATACATGCATAGATTGGTATTTCTAAGACTGGACCAGAAAAATCAAAGATATGAGGGAGAGCCTTTGGTATGATAGACAATAAAAGTAAGAACTCTAAAATTATAAACCTGGATTTACTAGTGACCTATTCGGGTTCAGAAAGAAAAAAGCTCACAAGTTAGTGTCCTACATTAAGATAAAATTTAGCACAGCAGTGTTCTCAACTCTTTGATATTATTCTAGCTAATCCCAGTAAGAGTTATTCATTTTTCATAACTATATAACTTAAGTTCCTATAAGATCATTAATGTATCAAGTTAAATAACATTATGATTCCAAACTCTATTCATATTTAAGAATATAAACTAATAACCTATTAATATATTAGCATACAAATAAATTAAGATAAATTGTAATTCACCATTCAGCAGTTCAATGAGTGCAGGGATTATCCCAGATTTGGCTAGCAATGCAGCACAAGAGTCATCCATAGACACAGTTCCAATCATTATCACCACTTCCAAAACAAGGTCATCTTCTGCAGTACCTGATAAAGTCATATCACAGAACGTTTTCATTCACAGAAAATATAAAAGATACTAAGAGCTAAATAAATTCTTATGAATCCATAAGATGGTTATATATCTGTCTTTTTCCAAATTTCCATGTTTCCTGATGATGGTTCATGGTGGGAGGGGAGGGCAGCAGAGACATAGAAATTACTCTTTGTAAATACAAATGGATGACAATTTAAACACAGAAAGTAGAAGACTCACTTGGACATTCTAAAGAACTTGGTGTGTGTGTATGTACATGGTTTGCAGAAAGGGTGGCATTTGGTCATTTCAAAAAGGCAGTATTTAAAAAATAAGAAAGAAGGCAGAATGGCAATGGGAAACTAATATTAATTGTCAGGATAAAAGAATAAGAGTGGCCACTTACTGGGAAAAAAAAACTAGAACTTGAGCCCAGCTGGCTTGGCTCTGTGATTAAGCATCAACCTATGAACCAGGAGGTCACAGTTCGATTCCAGTCAGGGCACATGCCTGGGTTGTGGGCTTGATCCCCAGTGTGGGGCGTGCAAGAGGCAGCCAATCAATGATTCTCCTTTATAATTAATGTTTTATCTCTCTGACTCTCTCCCTTTCTCTCTGTAATCAATAAAATATATATTAAAAAGAAAAGAAAAGAAAAAAGAAACTAGAACTTGAGGAATAAGAGAAAATTTGTCACTACAACAATGGCCACAAAATTATGCTCTAGCAGCCTTGTCCCCAACATAAATAACTTCAGGGTAGGACTAAAGTGAGATGCGCAGCAGAGACCTGGTTTCAGTTTATCCTTGAGGTATGGAACCAGCTTGTACTCCTTCAGCACCAATTCCCAGTCTAAGTCTGGAATGGTCAAGTTTGCAAGTGTTCCCAAACACTCAATCACAAACTCCTCCTCTTCATCATTGGAGATCTGGGCTGCAAGATCCCCAACATAATCCTGTAGAAAATACAATTTTAATACAAATTTAAAAATGATTTCTGCAGGAGAACCACTCTAATAACTCAACCCCCCTTTGGAAAGAAAAGTAAGTATCGAATGTGATTCTCTTGTTTTTAATAATCTTGAGCTGAATTACTAGGGGAGCCCTATGGTGAACTGGTTTAAGGCAAGAAAACTGGAGTGAGCACGGGAAAGTTAGGGGTAGGAATCATAAAACAAAAACATCATAAAAATCTAGGTTTAATTTCTAGGAATTACTCTTACAAAGAAATTTTTTGATGGAAAACCAATGTGGGTCATGAGTTAATATTTGATGAGAGCTCAGTAAAAGTTATATTTCCAAATGGCTCATTTTAAAGCTTTGATTCTCAGGCCATTATTATAGACAGGTCAAAAATTATACTTACAATAAATAAGTTTTTAGTTGGTCCGTCGTGCTGGGAAATGTTTCTAATCATTTTCATTAGCAGCGGGTCCTTGAATTTCAGAGCTCTTTTCATGAGCATCTTTAGCCCATTTCCTGGCACAGAAAAACCAAAGATTCCCCAGTAAAAATAAGGTTCACTAAGTTAACCAATTTTTTATAGTTCACAAAAGTGCCATAATTTATACGCAGTAAAGTGCATAAACCTCAAGTGTTCAATAGATTTTGGTGGTGGTGGTGATGGAGGTTAATCTACACTTGAGGATATTTTGTCCATTGATTTTTACAAGGAATGGAAGGGGGAGAGAGTGGGGGAGACATAGAAAGAGGAACATCAATGTGAGAAAGAGACACATCAATTGGTTGCCTCCTGCACATGTCTGATCAGGTTTGGGTATTGAGCTTGAAACCCAGGTACATGCCTTTTACTGGGAATTTGAGCTTATGTCCCTTCATGTTCAGGCCGATGCTCTAAAAGCAACACAAGCCAGGGCTCCAATAGATTTTCAAAAAATATTTTTTTTATTGATTTCAGAGAGGAAGCGGGGGCATGGGGAGAGATAGAAATACCAATGACGAGAGAGAACCATTGATCGGCTTCCTTCTGCACGCCCCACACTGGGGATCAAACTCGCAACCCGGACTTATGATATATATGCCCTGACCAGGAATTGAAGACTGAAAATCAAAGACCAGAAATCAAACTGTAACCTCTTGGTTCACATGTTGACACTCAACCTCTGAGCCACCCTCGCTGGGCCTCCAATAGATTCATTTTGATAAACGTATGCTGCTATGTAATTCACAAATAAAACAACAAATAAAATATTTCCATTTGCTCCAGAATTCCCTATGCTCAGTCAATACTATTTCCCAAATTCAATCACTTTTCTTCTTTTCTTTTCCTCTTCTATTCCTTCTCTTTCTTCTTATTAAACATAGATTAATTTTGCTTGTTCTAGAATTCCACATAAATGTAATCACAGAGTATGGGCTCTAGTGTATGGAATATGGGCCACACACTATTTAAAATTTTTTTTAAATGCACATGCTGGTGGACCTAGAAAAACTACTTCTAGGAATTTATCCTAAGAATATAAAAAATGAAAATGTGGAAAACCTCAGAAAAGGGAAAATCACTGCTTGTTGTGTCACAGAAAAGAAGTGGCAGCAAATTAAACAACCAAATTAGCAGATTAAACTATGGAAAATCATTTGATGGATTACTTTGCAGCTATTGGTAAGTATGTTTTATAAAAGTATTTAACCACATGGAATGATATTTCTTATATTATTAACTTAAAGAATGTCACAATACATAAAGAACACCATTTTAATTAAAAAAAAAAAAATAGAAGCAGCCTAGCTGGCATGGCTCAGTGGTTGAGCGCTGACCTATGAACCAGAAGGTTACAGTTTGATTCCCAGTCAGGGCATATGCCCGGGTTGCAGGGTCAATCCCCAGTGTGAGAAGTGCAGGAGGCGGCTGATTGATGATTCTCTCTCATCATTAATGTTTCTCTCTCTTTCTCCCTTTATCTCTGAAATCAATAAAAATATATAAAAAATAAAAAATATAGAAGCTTTGCATAAAAATTTTACCTAAAATTACCTCTAAATAAGGGAGAGTATACACTTAATTTTTTCCTATTTGTTTATTTGTATTTTTTGTAACAAACATGTATACTTTTCAAATAAGAAAAAAACTATCAAGAGGACTCTGAAATATCATAATGCATGACAAGCAATTTTGCAAAAATAATACAGAAACAAATACCTAACATATTTGTATTATACTATCTTACATTGCAATGAACTACTCTGCAAATTAAAAGTTTTGTTTCATATAGAAAGTATTCTTAAAAATCAAATTTCAATTAAGGGTAACTGACCTTGTTACTAAAGGGTGTTTCTACTCATGATATCAGAATATTCTGAGATTCTCTGACCTTTTCGGGTTATTGCTGTAATTTTACTTCCTTATTACCTATTTTCCATCATATGCCAATTGCCATATGATAGAGGTTATCTATGAAGCTCAAAGGCACTAACCTTCACAGATAAGTTGTACATTCCTTTTATTAGCAGCAAGATTAATGCAGAAAGAAATCAGTTCCAAGTCAATTCGTTCATCTGAACATTCAAAGAGCATCTTCATTAACTGTTAAGAAGCACAGGGAATATTTTTACTCAAAAAGATACAAAAAACCCCCCCAAATCACCATTTTATCACAATGTGTTATTTTCGATTGCATGTTGAAATAATATAACACAATTACATTTTCAGTACATAGCTGTGGCACACTCCTTATTGAATAACAAAATGAATAAATGGTTAATGAACAACTACATTAAATATAAACTTCCAAATAAAGTGAAGGATACAGAAGAAATATTAAATAAAGCCTATGCATTGAAGGAATTTAAAATTGTGCAGAAGTAGAGCATTCTAAACAAAGAAAACACCTTGGCCAAATTTACAAACAGGAAAGAACATGATTCCACTGAAGAACTAACAGGAGATAAAGCATGGTTGGAGTGAGGGAAACAGTGTTGAGAGATAAGATGGTAAAAGCCAGATCACAGGGTCTTGAAGTACATGGTAAGGATTTAGGGCTTCTAAAGATAATGGAAAGCCATTAAAAGATTCTAAATAAGGAAAGTGTCAGGATAAGACACGGGTTTTAAAAATATCTGTCCAGTATAGAAGATAGACTGAAACAGGGTAAGAAAAACACAAGAAAATCAGCTAGAAGGCTAGAAGATACATGCAGGTAGATGATGGCTTCTTGGACTAGGGAGAGGAAGGCTAGAGCTATATTTAGGAAAAAGAATCAAAATGGGATGGAATAACTGACTAGATGTTGAGATATTGGAGAGGAAGGGTCAAAGATGACTCCAGGTGTCTGTACCAACATGGATAGCGGTGCCAACATTTATCAAAAAAGAGAAACTAGAGTAGGCACGTTAAAGGGAAGATAGTAATTTTGGTTTTAGATATGTTGAGTTTAAGCAGCCTATTTAAGAGTTTAGTATGGCTATTCGATGAAGATAATAAAGGCAAGCCTGATTTAGAAGAAATGTTCAGATTGGAGGTATAATTATAGGAATGCCACATATGCTTGATAACTGAAGCTGCAGGCTGGATCCAACAATTTGGGCATGGGTATAAAATGAGAAAATAATTCTATTTAAGGTTAAGAATAAAGGAAGAGGGTCAGAAAAGTAGAAAGGAAAAGTAGGCTATCTATGCCATTTAGCAGTAATCTAGTTTTTCATAAGAGATAGAGGTTATCATAAAAGAGAAATGAACAAATTTTGTGCTGTAGTTTTGAGAAGCTAGTCTTCTATTATTAGTAAATTAGAAAATTAAGTTATTGTATATTATCTATATACTAGAATTCTGGTGCACAAAATTTGTGTACTCAGGGCCCTCAGTCTGGCCTGCACCCTCTCACGGTCTGAGAGCCCTCAGGGGATGTCTGACTGCCAGCTTAAAACAAATGAGGGAATTGGCCCTAGTCGGCAAGTGGACATCCTTAGTGCTGTGCTCCCCAGTCCTGAGCCCGGCTCAGGGCTTCTGTCTGAGCAGTGCTTCCCCTGCATCGACCGTCTGCCCCCTGGTAGTCAGTGCATGTCACAGTGAGCAGTTGAGCAGCCTTAGCATATCATTGGCATGTTATGCTTTGATTGGTTGAATGGCCGACCAGACAACTTGACACTTAGAATATTAGGCTTTTATTATCTTGTATAATAAAAGGCTAATATGCAAATAGACTGAAAGGTAGAACTGAACAACTGCTTGTTATGATGTGCACTGACCACTAGGGGTATGCACAGAACATGGTGGGCATCGGCCACAGTGGAATGGTGGAGCAGGTGGGCAGGGGCGCCAGACCAAGATGGGGCACCAGTCGCTGTCATTGGGACGAGCCTTTGGTGGTTACTGAAAATTCTTTGCTCCTGCACGCTGTGGTCCTGACTGGTGCTTGCACCTGCTGCCGGCGCCGGCCTCGTTTGCATTCACTGCTGGCACTAGAGCCGCTGCTCTTACCCGCTGCCAGCCCAGATCACTCAGCGCTGTCAGTGGGTGTGAGTGGCAGCTGCCAGCCCCAATTTCCCCTGAGGATTCTCCATCTCCCTCTGCTCCTGAAAGACAATAGTGGCAGCAGCTCTAATCGCTCTGCGCCATCAGAGGGTGCGAGTGGGGCCGGTGCTGTCAGCACATGGGAGTGATGGCGGTGGGAGCAGGGGACCAGGGCTGTGGCATTCAGGGGACCAGAGGCTGTGGCAGGAGGGGCTGGGAAGGGCTGCAGAGGATGGGCTGAGACCCTCCCCCGTGCCCACCACAGCCTCACAGCCCACGGTTCCTTTCAGGGTGCATGAATTCATGCACTGGGCTCCTAGTGTAGGATATAAAAGCCTAAGCGACTGAACGACCTAACAACTGAACAACCAGGCAACTGGTTGCTATGATGTGCACTGACCACCGGGGGCAGACGTTCAATGCAGGAGCTTCCCCCTGGTGGTCAATGTGCCCCCACAGTAGGTGTGCCGCTCAGCTGACCAACCCATCCCAGCAGCACACCAGCTCAGTGGCAGCCACTCTCTCCCTCAGTAGTCCTGTAGGCCCAATCTCTGGAGAACGAGCCAGGCACCGAGGAACTGGACCGGTGCCACTGGCACAATCCCAACAGCGCTGCTGCCAACCTCGAGCATCGTGGCCACTTCCCCTCCCTACATGCTCCACAAGAAAGAAATGATATAAAAGTGGCTGTCAGGTGGCTCCCGATAACCAATGTGAATATCAGGGGGACGGATCTGGATCCCAGGCCAGCAAGAGTATCCTAGAGGGCTGATTGCGTCTGGGCTCCCCCTCCACACAACCCCCTTGGGATGGGCTTCATGCAGGGCTCATGACTGGCGAGTGCTGCTGCAGTGGCACAAGCCCCTTCTCATTGGGACTGACTGGGCGTGAGCCAGTGGCAGGCGTAGCAGGGCCGGGATGAGCAGGAACAGCAGGAAGGAGCAGTGTCAGACTGCAGGTTTTAGCCAGAACCCTGCAGATCACCCCGAGGGACCTCACCTGTGCATGAATTTGTGCACCAGGCCTCTAGCGTAAAGATATTTTTCTCTAAGTCAAATTGCTAACAACATATAGAAGTTAATTTATAACCTAAAAATTTCTTATGCTTCTCAGGACAATACCTTTTTAGACCAACATGCCTTCCTGAATCCTGCATGCCTTATTTATTATATAAAAAGGCTATGGTCGTCCTACCATCACGCTGTAATGACTGATCAGCAGGAGGCTGCATGCGCAGGGTGGGCGGAGTTGCATGTACAGTGAGGTGTGCATGGATGGGTGGGGGACTTGTTCTGAGTCCCACCAAGTCACGGACTCTGGGTCCTGGGTCTCATGCGATTTCGCGTGCTGGGCCCCTAGTGTGTGTGTGAGTATATATATATATGTGAATAATAACTATTTTTGACTGGTTAGACCCTATTTTGTTAAATCTTGTTTTGGTTATTCTCTATGTTAGTAACAGATAATGTCTAAGTTGCAAGAAGGATACACAATCGCCACACAAAAATTATATGTTTCTATGTGCTAGCAATGAACAATTGGAGAGCAAAATAAAAAACACAAACCCCAAAGTGAAATACTTATGTTTAATTCTAACAAAACTATATGTATATATAATTTGCTATACACTGGAAACTACAAATTCTATAGCAGGTTGGCATGTATTTTTCCAGAGGGCAGCTCTTTAACCCCAAATGTTGCTGCTACTGGAATCTTTGGGTAAAGAATTGTTAAATACTTAATAATGTTATAGGCTAAAAACTTCTATGGCAAAAATAATCTAAATCTATTGGATATATATATTTAACAGATTTTGCAACTTTTCTATAAATTAACTGCCAATTAAAATTAAATTATATTTTAATAAAAATGTAAGTGATAATCCTCCAGTTAATGAAATTAATGTTTGTCATATTCATTAAAAACCTACTATGGGTTTCTTCTAAACTTTTACTGATATAAGATGTTTTTTGTAGTAACAAAATGTTATATCAAAGCAAATCTTTAAGAAGGCAAAATATCTGTTATCTTCTTGAAATTAACCTTGTGGTATGAAAACTTCCCTTAGAAAATGGGGTTACAGGTGATATGTTTAGAAATTTAGGATTTTTAATTTTTGTAATGTCCATGTTACATCCTGTGGTGAAATAATCAGGAGCTAGGTTTTTAAAAAAATAAGGTATGATTTGAAATCTTATCCAATACCCACCCCCCAATATCAAGAGAAATCAGGACTAAATGTGAATTAAATGTATCATGATATCGAATTAGTTTTTCATAATAAGAAAGAGAAACACTTCAATTTTAATTAAAGCATTCACATTTTAAAGTAATAGTTTAGTTCAAACTCCATGTGCAATATGATGTCTTTAATTTGATTGCTACCCATGGCACTTCAAAAGTAAGTGTAATTGCTGACAACTAGGAAATATTAAAACTAGATTTGTTCTGCTTTAACTATGTCCATTGTCATCTTTTACTAATTTAACAAGAAGGCACTATAAGGGCTTCAGTCTGTGCAATGAAGAGGCAATAGTGCTCAATCAGACAAGTCCCATATTGAGTATCAGATACCAAAGACCCACGACTGAAATCACTGTGTCTAGACTCTCTGGCACCTGACTTTACTTATTTACCAGTGACCAGAGGCCAACCCCCACAGCTCTCTGTGTTCACATACACCTCTACCACCCCCAACCCCCTGCCCAAACATCTTTGAATGATTATGGCAGAACTTTGCATGCCTCAGGAATCTCCTCTGACTGGCTACTCCCTAGCTCTGCTGTTTGAAGTGATGCTCTGGTTTCTGAACTTCAGCAGATAATGGCAGGCAGGAGCAAAGGGGGCTGTCAGAAAGGACGTTTACCAGCATTCAGCTAAAAAGAAGCATGCAGATCAAAGAGGGGCCAAACAGGACAACTATGGTGGAAAACATGTGGATGACTATGAAGATCCCTGCACACTGTTCTAGGGTAAAATATTAAATAACACCATGACATCATTACCTAAACATGCACTTTGATTGGCCACTCTATTACCAATAAATACTTTTATGAGCATCTGGATGGCATTCACACCTATTTAAACAAAACATGCGTCTTAGAGGTCTAAATAACAATGAACTGTTAATGTGTACTTTTAACTATTATTAGAATACAACTATTAACTCCTGGTTATCCCAAGTATGCTTACCTAAAACAATTTACCCACTGAGACCATTAAGATCATATGTAAAGAAAGGACTTGAACTGGCCCCAAAATTTTGCAGAATACTGACAATAATAGGAAAAAAAATTAGAATATATTGGATAATTAGAGGCAGTAAAAAAGTACAAAAGAAACAAAGCAACATAATATTGAAAGACGTTATAGGGCACACTGAATATATAATCAACTATGCTGAATGTTAAATAATTTTCAAAAGTGAACTCTAATCTAATTATAGGTTTAATCTATAAAACACATATAAAAAGAGCAGTATTTAAATTGGACTATGAATGGATCCAAAATAATGAGAAAAAGATCTCCTATTTTACTAATAGGACCTTACTTTGTGTTTTACAGCTTAGGAAAGCTCCTTAATATATCTCTAATGTAATGAAAGAATATGACATACTTTATACTCTGGTCACTGATATGAATGAGTGCTGAATCTTTGCTTTCCCATTTTCAAAGTGATTATAGCCTTCTCATTTGAAAAATTTATTTGCGTACTTGACAATCTTTTTTTTTTTTTTTAATATTCACTAAATAAAAATATGCATAATCTCAAAGTGAATAGGATATTGTATTAACTCCAAAATATTCTGAACCTCAGATATAATTTTATTTAAATAAATAATAAATCTATTGTCACAAAGAAGTTTAAAGCTTTACTGGTGCTTTAAACATTAATTTAAAAAGCCAATAACTATGAAAAGACTATCTTTTTAATTCCCAAAGGAATTAAATTGAATTCCAGATATGCTTTTGATGATTCTTTTATAATGAACCTGGAATTGGGTGGCATATCAAGCCATATCAACTTTTCCCTAAATATATCAAAATTGAGCCCTGTAAAGTACAAGCTATAGGCTGCATAGCACTTTAGGAACAAATACATTTTAGAGTATAATTTAATTTCTCATAATGTGACCTCATACTAAAAAGCTTCAGGATATTTAAGACATAATCTGGTAATATAACCTCATCTAATTCTATTAGGGTTTAAGTTTTAAAAAGATAAAATGTTAAATACCAAGCGAGTTTTAGAAGATTCTGTTAATAAAATATACCTTATTGCAAAACCTTATTGCAAAAATGTTTGATGTTAGAAAATTATCTGGCAAAAAAACATGCATAAATATTGTTCTAAAAGGTCTCAGAGATTTTCTACACATAAAATTATCAACAAATAGAAAATAAAATGTCTCAAATGTAAATAAAATAGGTTTTTATTTATGATTCTTTATTTAAAATAAAGATTTATATTTTATGTCTGAGATTACACATTCTAAGAGAGAAGGGTAACTCCAAATTCAAGATTCAACAAAATTAAGTTTCCATCCCTTTTTATATTTCTCTCATTTATTAAAAAAACAAAAACAACACTATAACCTGGATAAAAATAGTCAATCTAGGCAAGAATATTATTCTTTTTTGGCTGCTTTCCAATTCATATCCTGTAGTCAATGAAGTTTTGACACTAAATGGGATTGAAAAAGGAACACCCTTTGAAACTGCCAAGGAGAGACCCTGGGAACATGTGGAGTGAAACTATAGTAAATCACCTGTAATCTCCCTCTGACATGGCTACTCTTTTATTGAAAACTTGTTTGACAAAAAGCTTGATTACACTTCACATTGGCTACAGTCTGACATGCGTTATCTTTGTAAGAAGCCTTGCCTTGTTAGATAAAATATGCTATATATTGTTTAAAGGAAGTCTATTTCCTATAAACACACATAACTTGCTTATCTCCTGACATAAAAGACTAAAAAGTTATCCTTAAGAGTTTACCAGTTGTTAATTGTATGCAGATAAAGTGTTAAAATTCTAAAACACAAAATTCAATTTCAGAATTTTCTTACTGATTTGGGATAAACAGAAGGATGTTCAATTAATAAACAGAGAAGTTATGGCCTATTTTTATTACTACTTTTCTAATAATACAAATTTAATAACATACATTATGCTAACAAGAAAGTGCCTTTTAGAAATCTTAAGAGCAATTAGTTTTAATAAGTATAAACTATTATTCATATTCTAAAGTGCTTTTAAAAGTGTTATTTTATTGTGTATTATACATTCTGTAATTTTCCTTTATCTATTTTAGAAAATCATTTTATAGAAAATAATGTAATATTAAAATCAGCCAACCAGTGTTTTAAAACAGATAACCAAATTACTGGAGCTCAGTTTAATAAAGATGAATGGAACACTAGTTATTCTCTGAATGTAAATTCCCTAAGAGTAAAATCATATGTATAAAATCTCTGCCCTTACAGTACATGCAGAAAAAAAAATCACTAAACTCTTTCAAGTAGACTTTAAGATATGAAATGAAATGTATCTGATAATATAACCTCACCTAATTCTAGCACTGAGACCAGTGCTAGAAAAAGTTTTATGAAGCATTTTTCTATCAGCAAATGCAAAGCACTTAAGACCATCAACCATAATAGAATTAAGGGCAATTGACAAAGTTGGGAAATGTTTGTAATATGACAGAGTTCAAATAATTATTTATCTATATCTTATTTATTAATCATGAAAATATTAACATGAAAATGAAAAAACTGGCAAAAGACATGAAGGAATAATTTATAATATGGATAAGAAACATAAAAAATGTTCAATCTCACCAATATTTATAGAAATGTAAATAAAAAGACACTTCATTTTTAGAGAAATGATAATATCCAGTGTTACTAAAAGTGAAATGTTAGCTGGAAATATAAACTTATGTCTTCTTAGAAGGTAATTTAGCCACAATGCATTAAATACAAAAAGTGTTCATGCTTTTTGACCTAGTACTTCTACTTTTAGGGATTTAAACTAAAGAAAAATTAGAGCTATGGATAAGCATTTGTATACTATAATATTTATCCCACATTTTTTCAGTTGCTTATACCTTTACTTCTGTTTTTATGTTATAAACTAGAAAAAACTAAAGATACAATTTAACAATATTTAAATTATGGTACATTTATACAACAAAATGTTATACAACTATTAGAAACTTTTGAAGAATATTCAATGACATGGGAGAATACTTATGGTCTGTGTGGTAAATAAAGCAATGTGTAATTATATAGAGCATATAATCCCAATATATTATTATTTTGAAAATTTATTTATTTATTTATTTATTTATTTATTTATTTATTTAATTAAATTATTATCTGTGTACATATTTAAACATTTCCTCCTCTCATTCATACCCTCCCTCCCCAGAGTTTTGTGTCCATTGGTTGTACATATAATCCCAATATATTATTATTTTTTTAACAATGTAAAGGAAATGTACCAAAATGTTAAATGATTATCTCTGCATTTGGGATAACAAAGTTATTTTTATTTTATACTGTTCTGTACTTACACCAAATTTATATTATAATGGATTAGAATTTTTTTTTTTTTCCAGGAAAAGGACATCTGGGAAATGAGAGAAAAGTGAAAAAAAATTGTTTGACTGTTTTTTTTAAAAATACTGAAATGACTTACCTGTGGTATACAGTCAGTATATGCAAACATTGATTTAAAACGGTCATCCATGCTTATGTGGTAAAGTACACACATTGCTATCTGTTTGTAGTTTTCATTGCCTGGGAATAAAAAATCAAGGAAATGATGATTGATATTTATATGATTAAATTTTTTGGTATAACTCCAATTAATACATTAAAAATTTAGAATACTGAATCAAATCCTTATATAACCCTCTTCTAGAAAATATTTCAAGCTCCCTATTTCAATTCCCAAGTCTGGAGCAAACTATCTGTGAAATATTATAAACTTCCAAGAGATAATGTATATTTTGAAAGATATATTTTTGGATAAAAAATTAGGCCCAAACCTAAGAATTAATAATTTTCAGTAGCCCACTATAAAATTGACCTTCCCATCCTTATTTTTTTTAAATCAAAATATGTTAATAACACTTTCCTATAAGGCTCTGCTGTTCCAGAAGTACAGGCACCCCATATTACAAGGCTCCATTCTCATAAGAACTCTTCATTGTTCTCTCATTCTCAACGGGTTACAAACTCCTTAGCAAAAATAAACTTGAGAAAAGGAAATAATTACAGTACAGATTATTGTCATCAGTGTATGTTCCTCTACCACCACCACCACCACAACCACCACCACCACCACCACCACAAATCTCTTCCTTCTTTTTTTTTTTTTTTAAGTATATTTTTTATTGATATTTTACAGAGAGAAAGGGAGGGAGAGAGAGAGCTAGAAACGTCGATGAGAGAGAAACATTGACCAGCTGCCTCTTGCACACCCCCAACCGGAGATGTGCCTGCAACCAAGGTACATGCCCTTGACTGGAATCGAACCCGGGACCTTTCAGTCCGCAGACTGACGCTCTACCACTGAGCCAAACCGTTTCAGCTCTTCCTTCTTTCATAGTTTTTTGGATGTAACTGAACTTAACTTCTCTCCTAGAGTGGGGAATGGTCATGGAGGAGATGGGCTACTAAGAAGATGAAAGGACACACAGAGCGAAGTCTGAAAATACTGAAGACAAACCTCCCAACTAGCTGTATTACTTCATATATCTTTAAGCAGCATGTGCCAGGCAAATAAAACCTATAGGAGTTTCCCCCCTTGTTTGGGCTGAGCACAACTGAACAAAAGAAACTGGAACATTACTAGCACTACGCCAGAGACATTTGTTCCTTGAGGAAAGCGTGAAAGGAGGTGATGACAGATCTAGGGACTACGATACTGTACTCGGAAGTCTATATAACCCAACTTGCTGATATTTCTTCTAGATTTTTGTCTGGGTAAAGATTCCCTAGAATTTAATCAATTGATTCGCAAATATCTATGAATCTTATTTTCATCCCTTTTTATATTTACTTAAGGAGTGAAAAAAGACGTCAACTGACACTTGCCCTTCTATTCAGAAAAAAATGTAAATAATTCATAAATGCCATTGTTACCCAGATGTTACATTGATGATTCTAATTCAGTCTTGTTACATGCCACATATTCCCTTGGCCCCTAAAGAATTGTAATACATGTAAACCACAGGTACCTTATTCATTAATTCAATAATTATATAAATGATTAACTTGATAAAAATACAGCCTATAACCTTATGACATCTAGCAGATATCTGACAGCTTCAACAAAAGATAAAGTATTTTAGGAGAAAAGTAAATACTTGGAGAGAGAAGAGTGAATACAAGGAAATAACCTGAATTCATTTCTTCAAACACAGCTACATACAGAAAGTAGAGGCTTTCTGGCTGCCAACACTTACCATTACTTAAAGGCTAATTTTCAGATCATGTAGCAATAAACAGCCATTAAGAGAGATTAAATGGTCCAACTAAAATAAGAGCTTATCCTTTATTATAAGTTAATCTTTATTCATTGAAAGAAAGCATATCTTAGTTCCTAAATCATAAACCTAAAAAAACACACCACCACCACCACCAAAAGCAAACAAAACAAAACAAAAAACAAAACACCCAAAAAACAACCCCACCAAAAACATCAACAAACCACCACCCACCAATCTTGTATACCCTAAATGAATTCCAGGGGCTGAAGGGTATGATTTTCTCCTAAGAATTCATGACGGAGAACCATAAACTCCAGCTAACCAGCTGTGATTCCTCCATATCCTACAAATGGCAGGCATTTCAAAAGGGCTCCTTTAAGACTTATAGACATCAATTATTCCCTAATAGCATCCCAAGTAAAAACAGGCTGGCCAATAGCAAGTATGCTGGCATAGCACCAAGGGCCCTGTGAGTTCTGAGCAGAGCAGTGAAAAGACTGAATATTTTGAGAACTAGGCCTTAATGAGTAGAGGTGGATTAGTCAAATCTGTTCAAGTAATAAGGCCTGGCTGGAAAAAAAAAATGGCCTAGTCATTACACTTCTTTTGGTATTTATGGTAATAAACATGAATCATGATGAACTCACTGGCTATTAAATGCAGAGGTCATAAGTACTTCGATAGGATTTCCACAGGAATTCACCGTTAATTAGCTGGATCGTTATTTAAAAGTGTTCCTGAATTATCTTAGCAGTTGTGCAGCCATTCCTCCAAAATTGGTCATTCCCAGCTGAGGGCAGTTAATGCCTTAACAAACTGGTCATTAACTCCAGTAACTGATTTTGTGGGAATTACTGCACTTATAAAATACAGTCAAGAGGTTTTGTCTGTCTTTCTTTTTAAAGAAATTTGCAGCTGTAGTTCAGCTGGAACAGCTGAAGGAGGAAAAAATCAGCTCTCCAGGCTGCTCTCACGATCAATATTCTGCCAATTAAAGGGCAAACGCATGCTGATGGGTTTTGAATTTTAAAATGTCTTCAGTTTTTTCATCTCTGAAGTGATTAGTAAAAACACCATTTAGCCACTAATTTTGTAAGGCACTTGGGATTTTCCATTCACAGTTCAGTCATGCAGAAATATGAGTTCTGAACACCAGAACTCAAGGCCAAATTTCCGCTTCTGCAGTAGACCCAGCCCAACACTTTGTAAAAACAGAGTGAGAACACAAGTTATGGGCAACATCATTAGCCAGATTCTTATTCCCTTCTACACTCCATGTCTCATTCGAAGTAGAAAACTCCCTTTGAAGTCACAAAGCTCCATGAAAAGATAAGAGAAGTGGGAATATAAGTACCCTTCTACTAGAATAGTGTAGCATTAAGGCCATATTTTACCCTAGAAAGTCTATGTGAATACAACATAGTTCAAAAATCCCATATTTCTTTAAGTTTCCTATAGAGTCAGAGCCCTTAAAGCTTTATCAATATAGTAAAAATGCCACAGGCAAAACTACCACTTAAAAGATAATTGCAACAATTATTGAACATATATATTAAATATAGTGAAGTATACTTAAAAGTATACTGAAAGTACATTAGAATATCTTTGGTACATGTTTACACATAATTTTATGTTTAATCTATTAAAACTTGAAATTGGAGAGACCAATTTTTAAGAATGCAACTATATTGGATAGTCTCCTATTTTATAATATACTTGTTCACAAAAAACAATCTAGTACAGATTTGAGATAAACAGATAAAAACCAAGTGTTTTTAACCATGAATTGAGGGGAAGAAGGGAGTGACAACTTATAGGTTACAATGACCAGTCTGAAAACAAGTGTAACAATAGTTTTGTGATACAATGATCCATGGATAAATAATTTTGTGTCCAATTATTTAATTTAAAAAGTATTAAGAAACTGAAATTATAAATCTATAATTAAGTTCAATAGCTGTTACATTAATAGACATTCACTTAATAAGTGCTCTAGAATCCAACACTTGATGCATTTTCATTCCTGCTTAGTATGTAAAACTGTACATTTTGCCATGTAGCTTATTTTTAAAAAAATATTTTCAGTTATTTTATTAGCTTGTCTTTTTATTACATCCAGAGCACACCACAACAACTTCTTTATGATATATCCTACAAAATATGCATGCTTGTGGTACAAATGATAAGGACCAAAATAAAGCCCGTAACAAAGGCTGCTTTCTAGTTTACTGGTTCCCATCACTGACTTAATGTGCTTTGGTCAGCCTTTACCATCTAGAAATGGAGACACCCCAGGCAATATTCACACACTGAGTATTGGAACCAGCTGCTGATAGAAGAATCTTAAGAAAAAAGGCTTCTTGATTTAATTGGGAAAACAGGAGGAAGCATAAATTTTACTGCCATTAATAACTTCAAGCAATCTTGATATGACTCTACCTCACCCTGACGGCTAGACATGTGCTTTCTGTTAAAGCGTTTGCCACATCTAACCCCTTTTGTTTGCTCACTTGATCAGGTAAGAAAATGTAGGTTTATTTATAGGATAATGAGGTCTATTAAAATTGAGAAACAGTGCAGTAGTCTATGAGGACCTGCGTTCCAAAACAGATGTGTGAAATTCCGTAACAGTTTTGTAATAAACAGGCTAAATGAAGTTATTAAACAAAATCTACTTTAAGTTTCTTAAAGAAACCTTCATCAAGGCAACCTACTTAAAAAAAGAAAAAAAAAGAAAACACCTCCTGTTTGGAAAACATTTTTCTGACCATTCCCAAACAGTTTTTAAAAATCAAGTTAGAAAAGTCCATTTAGAAAATACTGCTCTCTTTACAAAATAAAGGTAAGCTTCATTTCTTCATTTTATGATGGTTCTGATAAACTAAAAATTAAGTCATATTGATATGTAATGAAAAAAGTGAATTTCTCATTTGGAGGAATTTCAAAGATGTTCAGAAATTAACTTTTCCAATTTTCTTTTAAGGACCTATGACAGAGAAAATAATCCTCAATTTTTAAGTGATCAAAGTTTAGAGTCCAGCTCTGGCAATCTCCAACAATAGGGGAAATCAGACTTGTCTTAATCGGAAGAAATCAAACATTTATCACTTAACTCTTGACCTGGTCTGACTCCTGACATGCTGATAAAGCCTTGGAAATGTCCTGAAGCCCTGATTACCTAAGGTAATATAGATCAAGATGTATCAGTTGCCATTCCTCCTTTCAAAACCACTCTGGTTCCCATCCCAGAACATGTGAATTTAGAAAACCTCAGAAACTCTCATTTATTTTACAGTGAGGAGA